GAGGCACGTAGTATAATCGTATTTGATTGGAAGAAAAATATCAGGAAAAAAATTAAAATTGATTAAAATCAATTCGACAGTAAGTTAATATAATATTTAATTTTCTTCTTTATTTTCTTTTTTTATTTAAAATATTGTAAATATATGTAAGAGGTCGATTATAAACTCGAAATATATATTCTTAATTATTATATAATATAACAATAAAGTATTGAAAGAAGGAACGATTAGTTTCTTTCAAGATCTCTTAGAAATATAATAATATATGCAAATATCTCACAGTAGTGCTTTAATAATTAGCTTAAATAAGCCTGAGACTCTCCCCAAAGTACCCTGCCTATACAGTTTATATATAATCTTTCTGAGAAACAAATCTGCATTTTTAATATAATAATATAGATATATTTTTAAAATAAAAAAAAAAGATTGAATATAATATTATAGTAAATTTTTCGACGACACAATTTAGTTGCTATCCATTATACATAAAACATCTCCTATATTTTTATTGTGCCCAATGATTTACTTTGGACACATAATAATGAATAATCGATAAATAATACATTCTATTTTTTATATATTTGCTATTTTTTATATTTGCAAACTGTTGGTCAATATAATTACTGTGCGTAAAATTTATAAGAATCATATATGTGATATCTAATGTATTGGCAGACATTTATGCCTTATGGCATTTGCACATACATATATATAATAATGCTTGCAGTATTATAGCGTATTTGATTTATTGACTCGACTCGATTCCGAGTCAATGGTCTGTTTAGCTGTAAAAGAAGAGCTAAATTATGCAAGAAATGCAGCTAAAAAGAATAGATCTGGAACAGACAGTGGAGTCAATAAATCGAATACGATTCCATTTTCATCGAAATGAAATCATTGGATATATGTATACAATAGAAATTCTTATATCGCATATTTCATTACTTTACATAACGTTATAAAAATAACTCATAATCGAAATATATAATTCAAAAACTAACAACAATATAATCGTTGATAAAGTTAATATGCTCTTAGTAAAATAATAATAATATACATATACATATACCAATAATATTGTTGCAATAACATTATTATTTAGAAAATTCACTGTAATCGGTCGCAATATATAGATGAATACTTTAATATCGAATATTAATTCTTTTAACACATTGTCTGCACAGTGAGTTCTTTTTCCATAAACGTCACAGTAGAAATTACATTATCATGAATATATAATAAAATATTATTAATAATATTATAAAAAGACTATTTTTTCATGGCTAGTTAAATTGTGTCTTTCTTATTTTACATTGTCAAACTATTTATGTCATTTAAAATATTATATTAGACGTCATTGATCGCTATGAAAAATAGGGCGCATATTTATATGGCATCTGTTACAATTAGATAAGTTAGAGATAATTAGAATGGTGACCTTTGCATTAAAAATATACT